CAACTTACGGCTCAACCTCAATGTCATTGTGCAGAACATACAAATGCACTTGCTCCCGTTCATCCCTTGAAATTGTCACAACTTTATTTCCAATTAATTGTTTACCTACTATTTTTTCAACAACATGAGATTTTGGGAGGCCAATGGATTGAATGTTGGACAAATATTCAGTACAAAACTCAATAGCTTCTTCAACAATGTATCGTTCAACAATACATCCCTCTGATCGACTTCGGTTTTTCACATACCCTTTCAATATTTTCATATAACGTTCAACAGGGTACATCCATCTCATATAGGCAGGTCCACACAGTTGTGTCTCTTTCACAAGATGAACAACTAGATGTACCATTATGTCAAAAAATGATGGAGGAAAATACATTTCAAGCTCGCACAAAGTAATAACTATTTCTCTTTGCAATGTTGGTAAGATCGCAGGATCTATCACCTTACTACAAATTGACCTAAAGAAAAAACACAATTTAGTTATTGCGCCTCTCACTTTTTCTGGCAAAATAGAACGTATACCTATTGGTAGAAAGTGTTCCATTATAACATGGCAATCATGTGTCTTTAAAATCTTTAACTTGAGGTCTTTCATAGAAACAAGTCTTCTAATATCTGAAGAGTATCCTTCTGGAACTTTAACTTCACTCAGAAACTTACACAATATCTTTTTCTCCTTTCTAGATAAAGTATAAGCAACAGGTGGTAGATATGTGCGATTTCCTTTCTTCAAGGGTCCTAATTCATTTCTTATTCTCATTGCTACCAAGTCCTTTCTTGCTTTAAGGCCATCCTTAGACTTTCCTTGTATATTGAGTAATGTACCAATAACACTTTCAAATACATTTTTTCAATATGCATAACATCAAGAAAATGTCTTACATACAACGACTTCCAATACGGCAACTCAAACAAAATTGACCTCTTCTTCCACCCACGCGTGACAAGCGTATGAGCAAAAGGCTTGCCAAACTTAGTACTCACATCTTTTACCTTTTCAAAAATTTGTTAGTCGATCAATGTAGGTGGAGCTTTACGTTGTTCTGAATTTCCATTGAATGCTTTTCTCCACCCACGGTAGTGATGATTAGAATTTAAGAATCTACGATGACTAAGAAAGATATTCTTCTGACCAAATTCCAACCGCGTCCAATCTGTGTTTTCTTCACAGATAGGACACACACATTGACCTTTAATGCTATAACCCGATAGATTTCCGTATGCTGCGAAATTATTAATTGTGCCAAATAACATCGCCCTCAAATTAAAACTTTCTTTCCTATATCCATCATAAACCTCCACACTGTTCTCCCACAAACTCTTTAGGTCTTCGATTAAAGGTGTCAAGTATAGGTCTATGTCATTCCCTGGTTGTTTAGGGCCAGAAATTAACATAGATAACACCATGTACTTACGCTTCATACATAGCCATAGAGGTAGGTTATAAATCATAATAATTACAGGCCAGGTGGAATGTGAGATACTTTGCAGACCATGCGGATTCATTCCATTAGTCGATAATGCCAAGCGAAAGTTTCTAGTTTCTTCTCTAAAATCAGGATAATCATTATCAATTTTCATCCACTGTGGTGAATCTGCCGGATGTCGATACTTCCCATCTACAATTCTATCATCTGCATGCCAAGTCAGGTGTTTTGCATCTGTTTCACTACGAAACATGCGTCTGAATCTCGGAATTATAGGAAAATACCATAATACTTTTGCTGGTGACAATTTTTTCTTATACCGAGGTACACCGCATTTAGGACACTCGTTTAATGATGCATATTCATTTCGAAACAAAATGCAATCATTTGGACAAGCATGTATCTTATCATAGCTCATGCCAATAGAGCATAACATTTTTTTAGCTTCATAGGTTCGATTTGGAAGAACATTATCCTCCGGAAGCATCTCTTGAAGTAGGGCTAACAACTCTGTGAAACTTTTATCCGACCATCCATTACCCGCCTTTAAATTGTACAACTTTAATACTGCGGACAATCTTGTGAAAGTAGTGCAACCTTTATACAACGGTTTCTCTGCATCGCTTACCAACCTCTCAAACATCTTGGGACAATCTTGAAGATCTTCTTCAAGTGCTTCTGCAATCTCTTCGACTCGATCACAATCATATGTATCTCTGCCATTGTCCTTTAAAGCACATGTCGTATTATTTCGGGGTTCAACATTCTCGTTACTTATCTCACCATGTAATGTCCAACATGTGTAACTTCGATCAATTCCATGTCTCATTAAATGAGATTCCAACTGAACGGCGTCAACTCGACGCCCATAACAGCATCCTAAGCAAGGACATGTGATCCTACTGGGGTCTTTGGCGTGTTCAACAGCAAACTTAACGAACTTCGATACCCCATTCTCGTACTCTTTTGACAATCGATTACCAGACATCCATTTTTTATCCATACTAATTGAGTAATCTACACTAAACTATGAAAGTTAAACAAAACAGAGAATACCTGTAAAGAAATCACTAACTTCTAAGAATGCTACACAGTAGGATGTTTGGAAACGATCACAACTTTGCTCTTCACAGGTAACCCCTATAGCAGACAAAATATAAATTTTATTAAAATCATATTAATAATTAACCAAAACAAAAATACTAGATAATCCACCAAAACAAATCATATTAAAAATACTAGATAATCCTTAAACCAAAATGACACCCTTACTAAACATTGAGAAATCCTAACTAAACATATAAAACCATAATAACATATCATATAAACATTGAGAAATTCATACTAACATATCAACATATAAAACCATCAACATATAAAACCATAATAACATATAAAACCATATTTATGTTGGCTACTCTCTTAAAAATTAGAAATTTCCAAACTATTACAAAAACAATATGCTCTATCAAGTTACATTAATATTTTTAGCCATCATTATATAATATTTTTGTTATATTCAAATTAGAAGAAAACTCATTTATATGATTGGTGCTAGATGAATTATCCATCTAAGTTCAAAATAGCAACAAAATAAAAACAACAATAACATTAACAATAATATAAAACATTTTGAGTTTAGGCTTTTAACAACAACAACAACAATAAAAACAAAAACAACACTAAAAACCTTAGTGTATACGTATCATATCTACACAAACCCAACAACATTAGTGTTAACATCATATCAAATATCATACTTGAACTCAAATTTACTTACATGTCCTCAAACCCTCAATACAAAACAACACTAAAAACTTTCACTAAACCTTCAATAACTCAATAAAAACAACAACAACAACAATAATATTAAACCTTCAATGCCTCAATAACACAGAACCTTCAATTTCTTAATAACACAAAACCTTCAATATCTCAATAACACAAAACCTTCAATTTTTTAATAACAACAAAGAGACAATAACACAAAACCTTCAATATCTCAATAACACAAAACCATCTATATCATCAAAACAAAAAATCATTTATATCTTCAAATACCACAGTAACAATGGTGAAAAGATAAATAAACAAGAAAACCAGAGTAAAACTTCACATACCGTAACAATGGTGGAAATGCAATGCAGAAGGACGAATGCACTCGAAAACGGACGGTGAACGGCGGCGAAATCCAATGGTAGAGGGCGACGGTCGGACGGAGGCTGACGACAACGGAATGGTTGTACGTATAGGGCAAGTTCGTCGCCAGAGGAGAAAGAAAGAAGAAAAGAAACACGCCGCGACTGTTTTGTTTCTTTATAAATTCTGTAGGGTATTTTAAAATTATAATACTAATACCTATAGCAACGCTTTTTAAAGGCCTTTAGCAGCGCTTTAAAAGCGCTTTCATAGGGTGCCTTAGCAATGTCATATAGCAGCGCTTTATAGAAAAAGCGCTTTCTTATGGTACCCCTTTAGCAGCGCTTTTTAAAAAGCGCTTTCTTAGGGTCCCCTTTAGCAGCGCTTTTTTAAAAGCGTTGTCTTTGGTAGGCAATTTTTTTTCTTTTTTTTTTACGGACTCTTTAGCAGGCTTTTTTAAAAAGCATTGTCTTTGTAGCTAAAACTAAACTTTATCGTAGTGAAGTTTTGATGGAATATGAATATAGGGATGGTATTAGAAGTAATTCATATTTAGTTGTACTATTACTTAGCCCCTATGTTTGTTAGAGGGTATTTTAGTATTTTATCTTATTCTAGTAACCCTAGTTTTTAATTAGCTTATAAATAGGGTTACAATCATTATAATGTTTAGTGAGTTGTGTAGCCGGCGCCCTCCTTAATAAAATATGTTCTCTGTTCATTATTTTTTTCACCTTTACACCAACAGTTGCATCACAACAATACTACATAGTATGCACAAATTTTCTCTACTCTCTGCTCATACTTATTGCTCCCTACCAACAACCTCAAATTGGTTCGGTACCGTACGGTAAAAGAACACTTCACAGTTTTATTCTTTGAAAAACTGAACAGTAACAAAATCAACATCTTGTTCGTAAATTTGAGATCATATGACTAAGACGAATAAGTGTGAGATGCTTGATCTGAATTATGGATATAATGTCATTCACTGAACCAATAATTTTATATGATGTCATGTCATGCATCACCCTCTAAATATAAATAAAATAATACTACTGCAATGTATTTTCTTTTTTTGAATAAAATACAGCAATGTATTGATTTAATTTAATGATACATAATTCATATGGCAATATAATATAACCTTTGATTGATTACTTAGCTGCATTCCTCAGAGCATATTATGATTTTGTCTAAAAACGACACAAATATCATATTGTCACCAAATTTATTGGAACGTGTGAGGGGATATATTAGTCTACTCACTCATTCGTCATTGATATCCTACTTCATCACAGTCAATAATCACTAGTGGTGGCTAATCATTCATGTTTCTCTTGTTCTACAGAAATAAATTCAAGTTTTTGAGTTCAGATTCAGCACAAAACACAACAACTGTGTATAGTATAGTTCAGCAAAACCAAAATGGGTTTTCTAGAGCTTTTGGAAGCGGCTTCTATGCCAGTTATTCAAGTTCTGCTCATTAGTGCATTGGGAGCTTTTATGGCTACTCAATATTTCAACAATCTTCTTTCATCAGATTTTAGAAAATCCTTAAACAAGGTAACATATTCAATAAATGCATCACATATTTATCTTCTGCATTTACTGCACTAATTGATCTCCGTGTCATTGATTTAAGATTGATCAGAGAAGCTCAATGTCTGCGTCGAGTCCAAATTTGATTTATCTGTTTTGCAGGTTGTATTCTTTATATTCACTCCTTCACTTGTGTTTTCAAGTTTTGCCAAGAGTGTTTCACTTGAAGACATGATATCATGGTACACGTGGCTTTTGATTCTCATTAGTATTTCTCTTAATTGGTTATTATGTTTATTTAATCATTTGTTAATTAACAATTTATACAGGTGGTTTATGCCTGTTAATGTTGGACTCACATTTTTAATCGGAGGGATTCTAGGATGGATACTAGTAAAATTACTAAAGCCTAATTTAAAAGTCGAAGGTCTTATTATTGCTGCATGTTCATCAGGTATATTTATTTTTTGAACGGGTCTTTAACGTAATAGGACTCTGATACATTTTGTAATTGAGTTGTTTTATCTTGGAGATATCATGGTTGATAATCAGCTTGTACAATTTTAGACTGTCATGAAATATCTTAAAGAAATAATTTCTTTGAGACTAAAACATTTTTAAGCGGTTTTAAGTTCCGTTATGATCCTATATTATGAAACTTTTTTATCGAAAATTATCTAATTTCGTGAGTTATTGTTTAAATTAATCAGGAAACATGGGAAACCTACCTATTGTAATTATCCCTGCAATATGTAATGAGATAGGAGGTCCATTTGGTGCACATGATGTTTGCCTCAGTCATGCACTCTCATATGCTTCTTTCTCTATGGCAGTAAGGCCTCATCTTATTCACTTTTAAAGTTTCACTGATCTCACACTGATCTCACATATGGTGTAATTATCCCTGCAATATGTAATTATCAAATGTTTTCAATGATCTCACACTGTAAAAATTCTTTATACTGATGGTGTATATGAATTAAATTTTCGCATTGAACTTTTTTTTTATGACATTAGGTTATAGCATATAGTGTTTGTTTTTGTTTTTAATTGTAGCTTGGTGGGATATTCATATGGACCCATACTTATCAAACTATAAGAAGCAGTTCAATGAGATTTAAGGCACTTGAGGCTGCTGAGATCATAAAAACGCCAAACAAAGATCTTGAAGGAAATGCAGATACTCCCCTTCTTAAGGGAAAAGAGAAAGAAAGCAGCGCCATAGAAGCGGCACCGTTGAGTTATACTGATGACTCTGAAAGCCAAATTGTAAGACCTAATGAACAAGATTATGACTATAATTTTTCATAGGAAATTGTTAGTATTTTTTTTATTCATCGGTTTGAACACTGGTCCTTTATCTTCTTTAACCCTTCTTTAACTTCTATATAATTATCAGATTGGTGAACAAAATCAGTTTATTGTATTGAAGAAGGAGAATCAATCATTTCTCGCTAGAACGATAGAAGTTCTACGCGATCTTGTAGTAGAATTACTGTCACCACCAGCAATTGCTACAGTGAGTTTTTTTTTCTCTTTCTTTCTTCCTTTCTTATACTTTGTTACATTTGTTTCAAATTTGACATTCAAATCTTCCATATTCGATCATCAGTTTTTCGGTTTCCTCTTTGGCGCGGTCGCATGGTTAAGAAACCTAATAATTGGAGTCAATGCTCCATTGAGTGTAATCCAAGACACACTTGTATTACTCGGGTAAGTGCCTTAATTTACTCATGAAAATTTCAGTTAGTCCTAAAAGTTTCTATTTATTTTCTAACCATGCAATTATTTGTAGGAATGGAACAATCCCTTGCATCACCCTTTTACTTGGGGGTAACCTCACTCAAGGTATCAGAAAAAAAACTAGCTGATAGTAGAACTTTACTGATTCATTATCCAAAAATGGTTGTTTTGTTAACTTTGTACTGAAATTGCAGGCTTGAAATCATCAAGTGTGAAACCATTGACACTCATCAGCATCATCGTAACTCGGCTTTTCGTGCTACCTTTTATTGGATTGTTTATTGTTAAAGCCGCGGCGAATTTCGGCCTTCTCCCAATTGATCCTTTGTTTCAGTACACTCTAGTTATGCAGTATGCAATGCCACCAGCAATGAATATTAGTAAGTAATTTTGATTAGTTCATGCATATATGATTATATTATTGGTCCTAAATTCTATAAAATTAAATGAAATATGTAATGCAGGTACTATGACTCAGCTGTTTGATGTAGGAAATGAAGAGTGTTCAGTTATTCTGTTATGGACATATAGTGCTGCAGCCATAGCACTTACTGCTTGGTCAACATTCCTCTTGTGGCTATTATCTTATTAATGTGCATTTGGTTACGAAGTTTTTGGCCTATGCAACCATCATCTCTGCGACCATCGTGATGGTCGGAGAGTGAAAAAGATGTTGTATATGATCTTCTTTCAGGAGATCTAAGATCTGTTTGGTTTGGTTTTATTTTGATTTTCATCGTATGTTTGATGTTAGTTACAAAAGTATTACATTGTTTGAGCACTTCGATGAAAATAATAGAAAAAAAAATTCATTGTTTAAATACAAAACTTTGTCAATTAGAATGTAAGATGAAAAAGGAATCACTTGCCATGTGTTTGCATATATAAAATCTAAGATGAAAGTTTTGAATGTTATTCTACTTATAATAAAAGTCTATAAAGTTTTGTTGAATTATTCTATTTGCATATTAGAAATATACAAACTCATTGGACATATATATTCACCTCATTCATCTGACCTAAGAGTTCTGACACACTGGCCACTTTTTAACATCACTCTTCCTTCTATTCTGTTGGGAAGGTTCTATTTGTAGCGTTTGTTGTTATGAAGTGGTCCAAAGTCTACATGTTGTCATCAAGAGGGATTTGAAATCCATAGCTTACTCAACAAAAGAAAACATTAACAAAAAAGAAAATGCTTGACTTTGGTTTTCTTTATGTATTTTGAGTAGTATTACTTTAAGATTGTTGCGGTATATTTATTTTTGTGAAAATGTTGTTTAGTATGTGAAATGAAAGTTGTTGTTTTCTAATAATACTATTAGGAAATAATGCAAAAATATTTCATGGTATGTTAAAAGATAAAAATTAAGAGTTTAAAGGATGCATAATATATAGTTTTTCACTATTATTATAAAAAAAAACCATTAATATAGTGTATATTATTCACACAACTCTAAGGTTATGTTTGAATTGATGGATTAGAACGGAGAATGAAACGTGATAAAATGAAATATAGCAGAGTGAAATGGAATAGAGATATTGTTTAATTGTTTGTGTATGTTGTAAATGTGTCTTAAAATTTTTGTTGATGAAAAGAAAGAAAATATATCTTGTAGATTACATTTACCGCAAAAATCAAAACTTTTAGAAAGTCGGACGAGAAGCAAAAAAAAATTGGTTGGTGAATAGTGACGTTCGTACGATGAATAACGACGTTCGTACGGATGAATAGTGACGTCCATATGGTGAATAGTGACGGTCGTACTGATGAATAGTATTTTCTAGTTTTTGGGCTTTTTTCGGTCGTACTGATGAATAGTATTTTCTAGTTTTTGGGCTTTTTTCGATTCGGTCCAGGGATCCATGTGATTTTGGACTTTGTTTGTTGAGTATTTGCTATTATAAATATGTATCTCTTATATGTTTGGTGTGTGACAATCTTAGGGTTTTCACCAACAAGGGAGACCAAAGGTTTAAAGGTATAGCATAGGGTTTCAGCTATGCACAAAGAAACCCTTGGATTACACATTGGGTTTGAGTGATTCATATATTGAGAGTTGGAAAGGTAGGAAAACACTTAAGTAGAAGATATGGTTGTTCTTGGAAACCTGAAGGCGAAAGCTATTTTCTTGTAACTCATATGCAATCTCTTGACACAACTTTCTGAGTATAGTGAATTGAAAAGCTGTTATTTCCTCTAGAGTATATCATTTGATCGAACTGGGTAAATAAACCTTCGATTTTTTCTTGCCTTATTCTGTTATATTATCTGTGTACGGATTATTATTTCTGAAGACCATTTGTTTTGATTTCTATTGTTCTTTACCTCACAAATTGAAATTGAATTTTGTCGTAATTCAAAACAAGATTCACAACAAGTGGTGCAGTGAGCGTGGAGCAAAGAGATATTGTTGACAAGTGAGTACCATGGTTAGTAGATGGCAGATCGAGAAATTTTCCAGTAACAACGATTTCGAGTTGTGAAAAATTAAGATGCAAGCAATTTTAATTCAAGAGAAGTGTATCGATGCTTTGAAGAGTGAAGCATTGATGCCTGCATGGCTTATATAGGTACAGAAGACCGAGATGGTGGATAAGGCCAGGAGTGCCATTATCTTGTGCCTCGGGGATAAAGTTCTAAGAGAAGTCGCCAGGGAGCAAACTGCGATTGCTATGTGGGCAAAACTTGAGTCATTGTATATGACAAAGTCTTTGCCTCACAGGTTGTGTCTGAGACAAAAACTCTATTCATTCTGAATGGTGGAGAACAAATTCATAGTTGAGCAGCTCATAGAATTTCATAAGATTATCGATGATCTTGAGAATATTAAAGTGAAGATTGATGATGAGGACAAGGTTTTGCTCCTGTTGAGTTCATTATCCAGATCCTTTGAGCACTTTAAGGATGTCCTTCTTTATGGTAAGGAATGTATTATTGCTTTGGATGAAGTCCAGACGGCAGTGAGATCCAAAGAATTTTCAAAGTCAAAAGATTTGAAGATTGAAGATAGTGGTGAAGGCTTAAATGTGTCAAGAGGAGAAGGTGAATGTAAAGGGATGTCCAAATCAAAGAGGTCTGACAAGTCAAAGGTAAAATATTTTAATTGTCAGAAAACCTGTCATTGTAAAAGGGATTGTCCTGAAAGAAAGGTCAATGAAGATTATGTTCAAGCTGTAGTTGCATTGGGTGAGGAAAGTTATGAGGATGCCAAAGCACTAGTAGTATTGAGTTTGGAAACTGAAGATAGTTGAGTCATTGACTCAAGTTTCTCTAATCACATGTGTCTAAGAATAGAATACTTTGAAACTTTGAAGATGGTGCAAGGTGGAGTAGTTCGCCTTGGTAATAATAAGGCATGCAAGGTTCATTGTATTGGTACAGTCAGATTTAAAATGTTTAATGATCGTGAGCTTCTTATTAACAATGTGAGGTATGTTCCAAAACTTACGCTAAATTTGTTATCTATAAGAATGTTTGATGATCTAGGCTATTGTACTAGAGTTGAACATGGAGTGTTGAAGATTTCGCGTGATGAATTGATTATTTCTAAAGGGTCTAAAATATGTGGTATATATATATATTTTAGAAGGTTCAAATTTTATTATTCATTTATCGTTAACTATTGGAGTCTTTCATGACAAGGAAGAGTTATGGGATTTGAGTTTAAGGCGTTATAAATGCCTCGAGAAAGTTTCAGAGGAGTATAATGAATTTTGCATAAATCAAGGGATAAAAATGCATGTTACCACTGAGTTGTTATTGAGTTTTTGGGGAAGAGTTGAGGTTAAAACAGCTTACTTGGTTGGTAGAGAATTTCTTTAGAAGAAGAATAGTGAAAACCAAGGGAGAAACCTGGGAGAAACTATAGCGGAGAAAACTCGGTTTGAGGTGGAGTTTCCTACTATGGATGCTAGCAGTAGTCAGGAAACGGTTACAGAGATCTCTGATTATCATTTGACTCATGATAAGGTAAGGAGGATTATTATAGCATCTCAGAGGGACGGTTATGCTAGTCTTGGATATTATGTTTTTAATGTGGCTAAAGGACTGCAAAATAAAAGAAGAAAAACCTTCATGGAGGCATTTTAAAACAAGTGGAGTCAAAGGTGGTTGAAAAATCATACTTGTAGGTTTGTTAAATTACCTAGGTAGAAAAGGGTAATTGAGAACAAGTGGATGCAAGTTGCAAGATCAAGATTCAAGGGTTGCTTGAATTTGATCAAAGTTATTGATTAAAGTTTCAACTTGGTAGAGAGCATCAATATTGTTGATTGTTAAATTGGTATCCACATGGTTTAAAGTCGAGGTGGATATTGTTGTAAGTGTGTCTTAAAACCTTTGTTGATGAAGAGAAACAAAATATATTTTGGAGATTGCATTTATCGTGAAAATCGGACGAAAAGTCGGGGAAAAAATCTCAATTAGTTTTTGTTAAATTCTTGGTTAGATATTTTGGTTTTTCTATTATTATCTTTTCATTTTCGATTTTATGCAATTTATGTTCATTTTGGTCAATGAAGAAATAAAAAAAAAACTACTATTAATCAATTTATTGATAAATGGTGATTAAGACGAGACCGCCACTTTTTTATTCTCCATCTTTCTCATTTCAATTTTATTTTCATATTTTGATCGATGAAGTCTTTAGATTTGTAAACATTGATTTATCAAGGTTGATAACATTCATTATGTCAAATTTGTGGAAAATGACCATTGGGGTCATTTACTATACTTTTGGATTGTGATAGGCTACCTTCGATTAATCGACACAAGTTTATGATTAAGACGAGATCCCCCATTTCTTTTAGTCTGTGCGACACGATTACATTGGAGAATGATCCTCAATATCATTTATCTATCTTGTTTTTAACACATATATCAATTTGCGCGACCTCTTATAGTTCGACTTTCGTCATAAGTCAAGCTGCGACGGTTTAGCGCTACATTTCGTCCCTATTCGATTCACAAATCAACTAACGACTAACTTTACTTTCCGTCAACATATTCTTGTTTTACTTTTCAGTCAATATACTCTTGATTTAATTTCAGTCATTATATCTTAATTTATATTATCTTGTTCATATACTCGTTAATATTATCTCGATTATACTATTGTGAATATTATCTTGATCACATTGTTATATATCTTGCCATATTATTCATAATATTCATATTCATATTGTTCATCTCTTATTCACATTTATTCGAAAACACATAACAATTATCGAAACGCTAAAATCCTAAATTGGTGGACTGTTGGATTATTGGACTTTGTCAGAAACCCTAGCTTGTAGTTTTATCCGACTTTTGCTCAAGGCTTAGTTTAGGACACCTCGCACACACACGGCTTCCTCTTGGGCTATCTGACAATGAACCCTTTTATTTCGTGAAGTCCTGTGTAACTTACATGTACCTCTCTCCCATTCCGATGTACGCATTCATATTTCTTTGATTGTGGTTTATATTCTAGGAGCACCCATAGGGACTAGTGTAGACTAAACCATTTTCAAACTAATTCTCGATTCGTCATCGAGCCATTTTCAAACACCCCTCATAAGTCGAGTGCTCGTCCTTATTCACCATCAACCTATCGCACACACTTTCATATTTCATCGTGATTTCGTTATTAGGAGCACCCTTAGGGACTAGTATCGTTTCTCACAACTTAACCCTTGATTCGTCGTCAAGCCGGTTCCATTTTCAATCAAACCCTCGACTCGTCGTCGAGTCATTTTTAAACCATCTTCCATTCCACCGCGATTTTGCACGCAAATATAAGTCAAACCCTTGATCTAATGTCAAGCAGATTTTCTCAACAAACTATTAAATAAATTAACAACTATTTAACTCTTTTCAAGGTGAAAAGAGGGGGATTGAGCCTTTGATCCCTTGTTTGGATGCGAGTTATCTTACTCGTGTGTGAGCAATTGACGCCTCTAATAACATTTCCAATTCGACAACATTCAACCATCTTCCAACTACTCATCATTCGAACACATTTCAAACACAAATTTATTTTCAAGATGAAAAAGAGAGAGAGTCACGCCTTTGACTCACTCTCCCGATTACTTGGACCCAAGGAGCCTTTCTTAAGCTTCGAGTAATCGCCATCCGAACCAAACTTCAACTCAATTCAACCCATCTCTTTTTCGTAGCCGTCTCCACGAACTACGAACGCTCTGATTCTTCATTCTCGTCTGAATGTAAGATACGTGGGCACAAGATTACGATGATCTTGGCGAGCACACTTCTATCTTCCTCCATTATTCAGTTCACAATCTTCCCTCCATCTTCTGTTTCCCGTATCCTTTCCCGTAGTCGAACTACGAGAGCTCTGATTTCTCATTCTCGTCCAAATGAGCATACGTAGGCATACGGGCCACAATCCTTGACGAGCACCCTGTCCTCTAACCACCCATTTTCCCCTTAGCGTCTTTATCTTTTTATCTTATCGTTTCACATTTATTATTGAGAAGAAAACAACTAAGCTTAGCTAACGTGCGTTGAGTACAACGGACGTGAGAGATGCTAATACCTTCCCCTTGCGTAACCGAATCTCGAACCCGGAACATTGGTTGCGACGGCCTTGTTCTTGTCCTTTCGTTTTAAAAGGTTTTCTCAATATTTTTCTTTCCCTATTTTGGGATAAATAAAGTTTGGTGGCGACTCTGTCAAACCGCATTTTCGCGCCTTTCGCGCGAGGGCCGCGTTTCTTGATTTGAATTTTCGAGGTGCAACAATAACCTCATATAGTGGGATAAACAATGGATAACATTTCATTTGGAGAGAGAGAGTAATAAATCGGCCCATATAGCGATCCAAATAAAACTTGAACATCTGATTTTTCCTTTTCTTTTATAAAATATGATGTAAAGATATTCTAAACAATAAATAAAGGGGATTGTGCATTTCATCCTATGTGTTTCTCTTAACCATTATGAATTTTATAAATTATCTATTTTGTGTTGTACGGATAGTAAAATACAAACGCACAACTACGAAGTGTCCCGCCTTGAGACCATTCTGGAACTCCCCCCACCCCCACCCCCTACGTAATTTTTTTGGTTTAGGGAGACGGCCCTTATGGTAGCTTCATTAAATCTGACGGGATAGTCCTTCAACGATTCTGAGGGACCCTATCGTATGTTGAACAAGTTGGTTGTGGAAACTTTCCTATGACAGATGGAGACAAGCTGGTGCATGAGTTTCTTCACTAGTTCCTAATAGTTGTTGATGGAAGCTCTGGGTAGACCTATATACCATTGCAAAGCGGCGTTCCCGAAGGTGCCAGACAATAATTTACACTTCAGGGAGTCATACGCCTCGATGATATACATCTGAGTGTTAATAGAGATGACATGCTCGTAAGGATCACTGCGCCCATCAAACATGACCAAAGAAAGAGGTTTGAATCTTTCAGAAAAAAGCATTTCCCATATTTTGTCTGAGAGTGGCTGAGGATCCAACATTTTCACCTCCTCTAAAAGATTAATCTCTTGCTGGCATTGTCTAATATTGGCTGAAGTGTCTGATTCTAGCGGCGTAGTTCATCCATAGCAGCACATGTCTCCGTCATGACATTGGCTTTACGGTTAACTATGACTAAAATGTCTGGGTACAGAAGTAGGGGCAACGCTAAACGTGGTGATTGTAGAAGAAGGTGTGCTCCAGGTTAAATATATTTTTTACTTTTTAATGTATAATTTTTTTCGATGGTATTATTTAAATAATTATTGAGATTAATTACTCTACATTGTTGATGTAAAAAGTTTTATGCTGTCGATTCATCATCATTATTTGTTGGTATTACTTTCTTAATGATTAAAATAAAAGCCAAATTTCTTCTAACATTTAAGATTATGATTAACAGACAATGGGAAATTCTTTTATAGTGTCGTTTTATAATGTGGATGAATTTCAATTAAATCCATAATTATTTATATTCCATTTTCAAAATGATAGAAAAGTGCTTCGGTTGTACACGGTGGTCATCAAAGAAGCCACGGTCTCTAGCCACCGCTTCACTCACTTCACTGACCTCTTCAATCCACTTGCAAAACAACATCACGCCAAACAAAACCTCAACGATGTCACCACCTCCCCCGTCATCTACTCACCTCAGCACAGTCGCAGTTTCTTCACATACACATTCCCATCGTTCGACGGAGTTAAATTAAAGGTTCGATTTTTTCTTCTCAAATCGACTAATCATGATTCACCACAACACCATTCTCTCTTTCATACCAAAATGCAAAACCATGATTCAACTCAAAGCATTGCACGCTCTTATACTTACAACCCCAACAACTATTAATACTATGATTATCCCTTTAAGCAAGCTTATTGATTTCTGTGTTGATTCACAATTCGGTGACATCAATTATGCAAATTCATTATTTACCCAAATTCATTCCCCTAATCTTTATATCTGGAATTCCATCATAAGAGGTCATGCTAAATCTAACAACCCAACAATGTCTTTGCTTCTGTATAAACAAATGCTACAAAATGAGTTTTCCCCTGATCATTTTACCTTCCCATTTTTACTCAAAGCAAGTTCTTTTATTGCTGATCAAGTTATTGGAAAATGCATTCATAGTTGTATAGTGAAATCTGGGTTTGAAGCAAATGTTTATGTTGCTACTGGATTACTTCATATGTATGTTTCATGTAAAAATATGGAGTATGGGTTGAAGCTGTTTGATAATATTCCTAAGTTGAATGTTGTTGCTTGGACTTGTTTGATTGCTGGGTATGTTAATAATAATCAGCCACGAGAAGCTTTGGAGGTGTTTAAAGATATGGGTAATTGGGGTGTAGAGCCTAATGAAGTTACCATGGTGAATGTTTTGATTGCGTGTGCTCGTAGTAGAGATATTGATACTGGGAGATGGGTTCATGAGCGCATCCGTAAGGCTGGCTATGATCCTTTTGTGTGTGCGTCTAATAGTCATGTTATTCTTGCAACTTCCATTCTTGAAATGTATGCGAAATGTGGTAGTTTGAATGTTGCAAGAGACTTGTTTAATAAAATGTCGAAAAGAAATATTGTTGCCTGGAACTGTATGATAAATGCTTATAATCAGTATGAGAGGCATAATGAAGCGCTTGATCTCTTTTCTGATATGCTGGCTGATGGAATTTGTCCTGATAAGGCTACCTTTCTGAGTGTGTTGAGTGTTTGTGCCCATCAGTGTGCTTTGGCATTGGGAGAAACAGTTCATGCTTATCTGTTGAAAAGCAATATTGCAACGGATATTGACCTTGCCACTACTCTTTTGGACATGTACGCGAAAAATGGTGAATTAAGAAGTTCACAAAAGATTTTTAATAATAGTTTGGAAAAGAAAGATGTGGTGATGTGGACTAGCATGATTAATGGTTTAGCCATACATGGTCATGGAAATGAAGCATTGAGTATGTTTCAAATGATGCAAGAGGATAGTACTGTAGTCCCTGATCATATTACTTATATTGGAGTTTTATTTGCTTGTAGTCATGTTGGATTGGTTGAAGAGGCTCAAAGACAATTTAACATGATGACAAAGAGGTATGGTATAGTGCCAGAAAGAGAGCATTATAGTTGCATGATTGATCTTTTGAGTCGGGCAGGTCATTTAGGAGAAGCAAAGAGATTAATGGACACAATGCCAATACAACCAAATATTGCCATATGGGGTGCTCTTTTGAATGGTTGTCAGATTCATGAAAATACCTCAGTTGCTAGTCAAGTGAAAATACAACTGACAGAGCTGAGACCTGTTCAAAGTGGAATTTATGTTCTTCTATCTAATATATATGCTAATGCTGGAAGATGGGAAGAAGTAAATATGACTAGAAAAGGGATGCAGCGTAAACGAATTGCAAAGACAATTGGTCATAGTTCAGTTGAGATGAAGCTGTTAACCTCATGATCATCTCAAGATTCATTTGTTCAAATTGTAAAGTATTGACAGCTGGAGTAGTTTCAACAAGGAAAATCAGAATCGTCGTCTATTGGAGCATTTGTTCATCTCCTTTCAGCTGCCATGGTCAGTTTATTCGCATCAATATCCGGGTCTTAACACTGATGATATTCTTGAACTAATTGTCATTGAAAACTTGTTCTTGTTCACAAGCCTCAAAAGCATGCAACCTTATACCATACACAAACTGACATACAGATGTTTTATCATACATACCTTTTAAATATTCCATCATGTGTTAATATGATGTTATAAAAGATTCTAATTGCAAATTACCATAAACTACATCACAAATTTGAATAGGAATATCTCTATGCTGAAAGATACCTATAATTTACTTCATCTTATGCGATTTAATGTTAATTGTATAGGCTCCTTCTAGCCATCAGCTAACATCATCAAAAATATATGTAGTCTGCTCTGGTAATTTATTATTGGAGGAGTAGGAGTCTTAGCATCTTGAATTTGATTCTTGTGACAACATGTTGCCAAATTTTGACTTCATCTATTACTTTTGAACTTTTTGATAAGTTATTTTCTGTGTGAATGTTTTTACTTTATTTAAATCACAACTTTGTTCGTTTCCTTAGGAGCTTTTAGTGCAAGGAAGTTTAAAAAGTTGCCACAAAGCAACTCAAAATTGAGTATAGATTTTTCTCAAAGGGTCGTGAAAGACAATTTAAACTGCTGCAGTTCTCTTTGGTAAGTTTTGCTTATGGCTTTGAAAAATCATGAAATTTAACTCAATTTTGATTATTGATAGTGTTTTATTGGCCTTTGTATTGGTGTTCTACTTTGTGACTTTAGGTATAGGTTGGTAACTTGCAATTTTTGGACTCAAGTAGGAAACCATGGTTAATAGTGTTATCTTTTCACATGGTCTGGGAATGAATGCATGCTTTCCAGCTATTTTCTAAAGTGACATCATCATCAAAGGGATGGAATTGATAGTGGTTATCAATGTTCAATCCCAGTATCATCCACAATGAATAAATGATATTGTTAAGTGTATGCTGTTATCCTATGAGTTTCCTTGTATATTTGTATTCTGCATATTATATATTTTGTGATATATGCACAAAAGAATATGATAAATTTAGAGTGGAAATCAGAAATGTGCTTATTATGGAGCTTGAATTGAGAAATTTAGTTAGCTACTTTCATATTAGGGAACAATTTGAACCAAACAATACTGTTGAAATCTGTCATGCATCTTCTGATAACTAAAGTTTATAGATGTTAGAAGATTCACACTATGTATTCATTTTGTATGAACAAGATGGTTAATTTCATCATGTTAATTCATAAGAGAAGTAAAGTTAGATAGATAGTTAGGGGTAGTTAGTTACAGTGTTAGTAAGGGCATCATGTACCTCATTCACTTTCATTACTATCGTTGAGATTTTCTCTCATTCTTCAGCCTTTCAGACTCACTTTTTCCCTTCCCATCCTCTTTATTTTATTACCAACAATACGTATGCGGAGGGACATTAAATGCCAAAAAGGACCAGTAATTACCAAACTGGTAACGAAACCTTGTTATGATGATGACACAAATTAAAGAGAAACTCTTAGATGCTTGAGTAAAACCGCATTGCATCATATGATTTGTGCCATAAAAATTGTGTTGGCAGTCCAATCTCTTTAACTATCTCATTATATGGCTGGTGTCTTAAAGTTTATTCACAGACTATGCTGAAAGGTGTTGGTTAAAATCCGCATAGGAGAGGGAACTAAAACTTGTAATGTCTAATTTTTTTTCTAACCAAAATTATCTGTTTTAACTTAGTTCTTTGCAGGAATGGTATGCTATTGGGTCAACCAAATGGGCTTAAGGAATGGAAAGTCAACATGAGAAAGAATAGTACGTAATTCTGTTGATGTAGCAGTGGGGACCGTTTGAGGGATTTGTTTTAGTGTTGATTTCTGTTATTTGTAGTGGGGGGAGAGAAGAGAGGTTATGCAGAAATTTGTTACATTTTTCTGTTAGGCAGAGAGTGTGAATTCTCTGAGGAGCCTAGCTCTGCGGGTAGATAGGAATTGTATTCCATCTCCCTTTTGTTTGTTTCAATTTTACTCCATTTCTCATCTATTTTACACTCTCTGTTGATACTTTTCTGTATTCTATTTGTGAGGTCTACATCAATTGGTCCAACCTACTGGATACTTTGAATGACCCAGAAATCCAAGATGGAAAACAAAGTGATTGTGCTGGAAGAGAAGATTGAGAACATTGAAGGGAGGTTGAACGAAATCCAGATCGAAGTAGTTAAGAATCATGCGAAGTTAGTTGCATTACTCATAACGGGTAAAGCGACGATGGATGGTGTTTCATCAATTACAAAGGAGACCAAAGGAGTAGGTACAGTCGAAGTGTCATCAAAGACGAAGTTCCAGGGAGACGTGTTTGAAGAATTTCATAGATCTGTGAAGAAAGTCGAGCTATGCATGTTCACCGGTGATGATTCCGCTGGCTGGATTGCTCGCGTCGAGGTATACTTTAGATGAAACTGTTTATGCATAAGAATAATTATATGCAAATAATTTATAAGAAGAGTCACAAAGATATAATCGAACTATCTTAGATCGAACAATGTCAAATTTGATACGATTTAAATAGTCATTATACTTTTTATATATGTATTTACCGTAATGAACTATTCGTATGATCTTAATACCTTTTTGAGTTGTTTCCCTTTACTTCATTCTTAAACTCTTCTCAAAAGAATTCAAACTCGTGTCACATACACAAATCCATAATTACTAAGTTTGTTAGTAATGTAAATGAAGGGAAACAAAATTTATAGCAACTACGTTTAGAGGTCAATATACATCATACATGTATACAATTAAGATATATGATATATCATATATCCTTTCACTTTAGTCGATGATTGGAATGCCAAAAAAATCTTCCAAAATCAAGATTTACATCTATCAAATAATATAAAACCAAATGAGTCCAACAAACAACCCATTCACATAGACTTTGTAATGCATCTATCACTTATTTGTACTAAATGTCATTGATATACATAATTTTCACATCTTATTTGATCCATCATACGTTTGCTATAGGTGAGATTATCATGATCATGGAACTCAAATCCGCAACTTGATTAGTATAAAAAACATTGTTTGGATAGTCGGATCAACATTTGACCTATTATTAGAATATGCATTTTTTTTTAATACAAGACTTAGAATTAATGTTTTTATTACTAAATGAAACTTAATAACAATTATTTGGAGTCATTATAGTCAATAAAACTTTGTTTGTTCCATTCTAGATTTAAATTTACTCAAATTATAATTAATGTCTTACTTCTTTAAAGACCCATGTGTGTGCGTGCGTAGTTGACCTCTCTTGTAACCATTATCAGTTTTTTTTTCTTTTAACATATGAAATGACTGTCTTCCTTTTAGAATCATGTTTAATAAATTTAATATGAGTTTATTTATTATTATCATCCACCTACTTAATGTTATAAACTATTTATCTTTCTTTCAACAATCTATGGTATATACATGTACAATTTATTTATAATGAATCTATTGCATCTATCTGAGACAATCTCAAATAGAGCATGTGACCAACTATTTGGTCTTTAAGAAAATTCAAACTTTTCAAATTTCAAAGTTATTTTAGATCCATTTAGATTCCTAACTTGTATAAAAAGATATTTGGATGTTTTACAATTATGAGGTATGTTATATCTAGACATTCGGCCTAATCCTTCTCATAAGTATCATTCTTTGAATCTAGTTATAGTCAATTTTTAATAATTGGTTGTTTGAGAACATACAATTTTTCTCATGTTTGGAAAAAAATTTCAATTTTTGTACCAACTCATAAACTCATTTATGAAACATATGTCTTTCATAAGGACACTTCATAGTAAAACATAAAATGAAAATGCAATAAATTCTAACTAAAAAATGTGTAAAAGATTGTATCAAAATCATTTTAATAAGAACTTTTATTAAAATACTCAAATTATTTGTACTCAAACCAAATGATCCTTAACGTTTCATTCGCAAAATCTCGTTTGAAGATTTTCTAGTGGGTCGAGATTCATATTTCACTTTGTTTTAAGTTTGTGTTAGGCATATTCCACAAAACTCTATTAATTAGGTGGAAACTCTTTCAAATTGTATCTAATACAACTCTCAAATTTTATTAGTTGAGTGAATAACTCCTTATTCTAATCCATCATATGAGTTGTTTTCAACTCTTACATCTAAACATATATAATTTTATTATAATGAGTTTAATTAAGTAAATACTTGAAGGATCGCAAGGTAGGACACTATCAAAGTGAATGTCCAACTTGACATGAGTATGAGGCAAACTATGCCAAATATGATGAAAATGAAGAACTGTTTCTCATGGCGCAACATGAAGCAAGCACAAAAATAGAAAATGAAATTTAGTTTTTTGATTTGGGGTGTAGCAATCACATGGTAGGAACAAAGGAATGACTATTCAATTTTAATGAGAAATTTAGAGAATTTGTTAGGCTGGGAGATGACTTAAAGATGCGAGTGGAAACGGTAACTTGAAGCTTTGCATGAATGATATCATTCATGTTATTACTTATGTGTATTATCTACTAGGTATGAAGAGCAATCTCGGGAGAGTTGGTCAATTGATGCAAAAGAATTTCACTATTATGTTAAAAAATGGTGGTTGTAGGGTACTTCATAATGATAAGAGCCTAACTATGTCCAGTCAAATCTCATCCAACATGATGTTTGTTGTATCTGCATATGTTGCGGTGAAATTTGGATGTCAAGCTATTGATTAACTTGAATCTTAATTCATTTACAACCGGTATTTGATTTATCCGAAGGAAATGTTAAAGAAAGGGGAAAACCTGTTTTGCATCGTAAACACAATGCGGGTAAAGATTTAGGGTTCGGGGGTTGGTTAAGTTTAGGGAAGGTAT